TGTCTTCAAATGGCGAACAAATCTTCAAAAAATAGATATTATTGACGATCTTACATCAAATGGGTTGAACAGTAGGATTTTTTTTTCAAAAATGAAACCCCATATGTTTAGGGAACAAGAAAGTTTTGTCAAAAAAAACACCAAAATCAAAATAAATGTAATAATATTTTGATTTTGGATAACCCATGATGTCAATACAAAAAAAAAAATTACATAAAATGGCGAAGTTCAACAATCACTTTACTAAACACAGGCCAACGAGCAACAATCAACGCATGTTTTTGGTTTACAAATGCCGAAGTTCAGAAGTTTCTTCAAATCGCAAACAAAACTTTCCCCACTCTTGAGTTTTTGTCAATTAAACCCCAAATGCTCTGTCAATTGATGTACATTTCACAGTTGAAACGCTCTTCTTGTTTATGCAAGACAGAGAGTTGGGAAGTTTCTTCGAAGAAGATGAACCAATTTTTTGTGGAGTATATAGAACGATTATCAAAGATGAAGAGATTTTGAAATAAATATACCTAAATTTCAGCGGTTAAGATAAATATATTATTACAGTTTTTAGAAAAGAAAATTTTATAAAATGGGTATTTATGTTTTTGTATCTTAGTAGTGTAGTTTTTTTTTAAATATTTTTTTTTTGTATACTTTTTTACAATTATGTCTAATTTGGTGTATTAACTTTCAAAGGACCCTAAAAAAAAACCAAGTTGAGGGAGCCAAAAAATTTCATTGGAGGCCTAAGTTTTTCTTGAATATATATTTGGGTATTAGGCAGCCACTGGCTGGCCCTAGTTTAGGGGGCGGGCTTTGTTCGGTAAGGTTTAGCCCAATGTTATCAGAATCGGATCGGTCATCGAATCGGCAAGGGAATTGGGTCAATGGTTCACTGGTTTAACCGTTGGGTCAACTGGTCGGACCGGTCATATAAAAAAAAAAAAAAAAAAATATATATATATATATATATATATATATATATATATATAATTATAAAAATTAATAATTTAGCTAAAAAATATAAAATATGTATAAAATATATAAAATTTGCCATCAAATTAATGAAATTAAGTAACAAAGTGAGGATTATTGTATTTTAAAGCAAAGTAAAGAGGTTCAAGTAAATTATAAAGAAAAAGAAGGGGTGTCACTTATAATTTTTTCAAGAATAAGGTTAAAAAAAATCAACTATTTACTGATTTAGGACAAAAAAATTTATTTATGTAATTTAATTTTTAAATAAGCATTAAACCATCAGATTTTTATAAAACCGGCGGTTCACAGTTTTTGTTCAAAATCGGCCGATTTTTCGGTTTTTAGTAGATTTGCTTCTTTAAGTTGTTCAACTAAGGAACCTGGTTAGGGTCTCGATTACGGTTGAACTGGTCCGACCGGCCGGCTTTGTTCGGTAAGGTTTAGCCACACTTGATAACAGTTGTCACCGGTAATTAAGGCATTGATTTGAAAGCTTGTGTGATGCATTAATAAGAGTGTTACCTAAGAGTTAAGTGGATCATAAATATAAACATTATTATATTAATATATGAAGAAACTGAAAACAGATGCCAAAATTAAAACAACAAACTGCTTTGGCAATTGATGTCTTTACTTCCTTATTTTGCGCTTTGAATATTAGAGCTATAAAAACTCACTTGCATGCCCCCATTTTCTACCAACTTCAACGATCGAGGAAAACCAAACCAAAACAAAAAAGACAAGGTTGACATGGCCTCCACTTACGACACCTTCTCTTTGCTGGTTTTTCTTTTCCTGGCATGTGTCTTCCTCAATACTAGTCCCTCCCATGCTTACAACCCATTCAGAGGAGTAAATGTCGACATGAAGAGGGTATGCGATGGCACAATCAATCCTCGTAACTGCTGGGAACGTTTGAGACCCGGCTATGGTACTCCAGGTTCCCTGGGAGATGCTTATAGTCTTGCCGATAATTATATTGCCATGGCACGAAGGAGCGCTAACGATATTCACGACTTGCTCGGTAATTTAGTTGAAAGCACAAATGATCATCCACAAAGACAACTTTACAGGGACTGTGCCGGAAGATACAACCAGGCCATCCGTGACCTCGACCACGCCACCAAACACTTGCAATCCGGTGACTACCGACGTGTAGCTGCAGATGCAAGCCAAGCCCCGAACGAAGTCCGTGATTGTAATGCTCAAGTTTCGGGATATTCATTTGGCGGCCCTGGTCCCTTTCGACGTTCCTATGACCCCCGCTTTCCAGGATATACTCCACTTGACTCGTCAGGACTCCCCGAAATGATTCAGGATTTTGAACTTTACTGTAACATTGTCAACAATGTCGCAACTTATTTGCCTAGGAACTAAATTAGTCATACATCCTGACCATGACCATCTAGTAATAATTCCTTGTTCTCATAAATGCCAATGTTTTAGAAATGTTTTTTGTTCCATCCAAAATTATATTATGTGCGGAGACTATAGTTTACAACCATACGCATTAGATAAATAAATATTCGAGACTCCGACTTGGATCTCAAAGTTAATAAGATGACTTTACTGTTATACAAATTTTTCACTATTTCATGCACGACTTAAGCAACGGATATCCATTGGGATTCATCGGTGACTTCAAGCAATTGCTTTAAGCATCAATGTAATTGGACAACCCAAAAACATGGTGAGTAAAACATCCAAGAGTACTAAAATTCAAATGGCAAGTTATTTTTTGCTTCTATACAAAACATTAATGTTCAACTATCACATCAGAGAAAAAAGTACATATAGTTTGAGCCAAAGAGAAACACCCAATGAGAGCATGAGAGAAACCCAACAAAGGGGACAAATACAACTCCAAAGAGAGAGAGAGAGACATAAGAAATAGTAACGTCGAGGTTGAGTCCGAACTTAAGGCAACAACTGCTATATATGCCTAATGATATGTGCCACTAATCCAGCTTTTTGCTTGCAGGATTTAATACCAAAACCATGCACATCACATGTGATCTTTTTAGCCATACCAGTATCTAAATCAGGCTGAGGAATTTTAATGCCAAAGATGCTTACATTTGTTAAACAATAAATTAAATTTAAACCTTTTTTCATTTAGTTTTTGATCTGGACAACTTATTTTAAACTGAAAGTTCCATACAAGTTGAGCAGATTATGGTGATATCATCTGTGGCCCCGAAGATGTTCATAACCAATTATGGGAATTGTTCTGCACAAAACAAGCAATCATAAAATGCTTTGGAATGGTTGATTTACTTACCCAAAAAGGAAAGGTGGATTTCATCTTAAATGCCCTCACAAGTGTATCTGGACAATAATTTCAACAAAGAAAAGAAAAGAAAAGAAAAAAATTTCTAAATTTTTTTGATATTTTGTTTGTCCCCTGATGGACCTGAAACCGCCAAAAACATGCAAATCGCATGGATCAATCAAGTTACTCCCTATTCGATACTTTCTAAGATGTGGATCTGTCTACAATTGAATCGTGGATGACATTAATAATAGTAGGATTTTGACAGCTGTGATCACTCCCTTTATCAGATTCCGACTTTAACACCATTTCTTATTTAGTAGTGACCCACATTTTAGTTTTTGGTAAAAGGTTGCATACACTTACCATACATGATGCAATAATATCAACTATTACCGCTGTCCTTGGTGATATTGGTATAATAGGACTATTTCTAAATTATAGCTTTGGGTTTCGAATGTTGGTAATTTTGACTGGAAATGAGGTTGGTCAGATAGAAAACTGACTCACCCAGTGAAACCTTAGCTGTTGAGATATTAGTATTGTCAAGACCTGTATGTAAGGTTGTACTGCTAGATTTAGCACTTAATAATTGCTAACATGTTTGCAAAAAAAAAAAGAATAATCAATGTCCTACCATTAGTTACCTTGTGAAATCTAAACTACTATTTAACTGTCCCATTCTCTGAACTTATTCCAGTACTCCAGGTGATAGAAACAGAGTGGAGGAAGAAATGAGTTTGGGTAGTCCTTCCTGGCAGTCGCAGGTTTCTCTTCAACTAGTGTTTGTGTTTGTATTTGTTTTCATTAGTCCCTCATGCTCATCTGCAAGGCTAATGGTGAAGGCAACAGATGCTTACCTCGAAGAACTGTGCTCCCAGACCACTAATCCTCCTTTCTGCTTGCAAGCTTTAAAATCTGATCCACGTACTACCACGGCAGATGTTAATATCCTCGCCCAAATCTCCATCGACTTAGCATCCGCAAGTGCCAAAGAAACCTACACCATGATTGGAGAACTCATTAAACAGGCAACACCTCAGCTTAAGCCGCGATATTTGGCGTGTTCGAAAAGTTATGGTGATGCCATCCGTGAACTTGACGATGCCAAGCAACAGTTGAGCTCTGGTAAAAGCCTCAATGGTCAAGCATCGACTGTCCTGAATGCCGTTGAAGAATGCAGCGATGAGTTAGAAGTACCACCCGCTGACCCAACTCAACTTCGGCAAAAGAATAAAAATTTTGAAGATCTATGTAGTATAATTTTGGCGATCTCTAATCATATCCCTGTATTTTGATTACTATCAGGTTATTGTATGCCTCATGACACTGTATATCGAGATTTTATTATATCTACTTAGAAAATGTTAAAAAAAAAAAACACTATAGATATTTAAACTAGTTTTATCTCTATTTATCTTCCAACGATATGGATTGTTGCAATATTATCCTTTCACAAGGAAAAAATGAATTTTTTTTTTTGGGGGGGATGTATAGGTCTCCATAAATTTGGTGTTGCTTCTCTTTATTATTGCCTTCAATATAATATCGTTTCAAATCTTTAATTAAACGTATTAAGTGAAAATAAACATTAGATAGAGTTGATTTCTCAATAAAACCAACATTAATTCTGAAAGAAACAGCACACAAGCTTTTATAGTAATACCTATAAGAGTCCCCATTGCATCATCCAAATTTCGTACCAAGTGGGAAAGAATACAATCCAAAAAAAAAGAAAGATAGAAATATAGAAATGGCCTCCTCTAATGCTATGTTGCTTTCGCTTGTCCTTGTGTTTGTCTTCATCGGTCCCTCTTTGGCAAGGCCTTATTACCATGGCTACAGAACCGTTGAGCTGAGGACGATATGCGATGGCACCATAAATCCTCAATATTGCTGGGATAATTTGAGTCCTGGTTATGGCACCGGTACCACAGAAGATTGTTATCGCGTTGCCGATGGGTCCATTGACGTGGCCTGTAACAGCGCTAGAGAGATTCATGACTTACTCGGTAACATGGTCGAGAGCACGAATGATCCTCAACTAAGAACACTTTACAGGTCATGTGCCGCAAGATATAACACAGCCATCCGCGACCTCGAACATGCAAAGAAATACTTGCTCTCTGGCGACTATCAGCGTGTGGCGTACGAAGCAACACATGCCTTGCAGGATGTCAGTGAATGCAAAGAGAGATTTCCAGGATATTCATATGGCGGTGGCTTTCCAGGTTATTTATTGGACTCATCAAGACTCGCGGAAAGGATGCAGGATTTTGAAGTTCGATGCAGCATTCTGAGCAATGTCGCAAATTATTTTCTAACAAACTATTAGTGGTACGCCCATGACCATCTAATCTAATCGTTTCTTGCTATGATGATGCGATTTTTTTCGAATAATATTACCAGATTTCTCTTCCATTCAAAATAATATATGTCATGTTAATTAGATGGTCTATTTCATATATATACACAAAATTTTTAGTCTGTATTGAATCCAGTTCATTACAGGTTTAGTGACTACGACTTCTCCTGGAAATATAATTAGACTAATTACCGACTGTCTGAGCACGAAAAAGATTCGACCACAAAAAACAAATATATGGCAAGAACACAATCACACCAAAAAAACCCAAAAATTTTATCTACTGACAATAAATCACTGTCAGTTCAATGGGAGAACGCAAAAGTCAATGACAATAACCACAAGGCGGCATTCAGTGGGATGTCCCAACCACCACGGCGTATAACCACAAACAGAAGACTTGCTCTAAATGTCTTCTGTTCAGATTGTTGGGAAAATTAAAAGAGCCTTTGGGTTTTTCCTGGCCATTGCTCGGGTGGTGTAACATGTGCAGTGCAAACCCTGTTATATGAGCACAAGTAAGAGAACGACCTGCACCAATGCTAGATTTAAATTATGATAATTACGTGGTGTTTAAAATGCTCTAGAATTTTGTATCACTATTTTTCCATTGACTTGGATTATAAATATTTATATGACTATAATGACTTCTTTTATTAAGATTTTGATTGTATTCTATTTAATTATCTTTTATTTCACTATTTTCTTTTTCAGTATTTTCTATTTCATTTTCCTCTATTTTCTTATCATTTGTTTCAATATTTTTTTATTTCATTATCTTCTATTTTATTATATTTTATTTCATTATTTTCTATTTCAATATTTTTTATTTTATTCTATTTTATTGCATTATCTACTTGTTCATTTTCAAATTTTCATCTAAATTTTTTGTTACATTACTCTTGTTACTAGCAACCAATTTTTCAAGAGATCATTTTTGAGATTCTATTAGTTGGTCCATTTTTTTTTTAATTTTTCGTATCCACTTGATTCTCTTCTTGGTGTCATATTATTAATATATTATAACTATATAACAACCAAACAAACACAATATATAATATATAGTTAAAATATAAAATACAACCTTGAATTTAAGACATATTGGGCTTTGGGCCTAAATGATTGATTGAGATTATATTTTATAAAGCCTATTTTATATGGGTTATTTATGGTATTTAAAAATGAGAATTTTGGAGACCAGTTCTCCTATATGTACTTGTTTGGACTTAAGTCTGCCAAAAAAATTTATTTGTTATGAAGTTCATTTTTTATCTATTTTATCAGACTATCCCTTATCTTTAAAAGTGAAGTAGAATTAAAAATTAAAAACTCATAAATTTTAAGAGTTTGACTAACAATAAAAAATTCTCGCTCTCATATCTATCTATATCTATAGGTTACTACTATATATCTCTTATATATATATATAGTAATATTAAAAATAAAATAATAACATTCAAATACAAAAAAAAAGTTATCATTTAAACACAAAAAAAAATAGTAATATTTAAACATAACAAAATGACAACATTTAAACATAAAAAAATAGTAACATTTTCATTAAATATTAATATTTAAAAAAATGATAATAGTAACATGTTCAACAAAAAATACTAATATTTTCAACAAAAATAATAATATAATTAACAAAAACAGTAACATGTTTAACAAAAATAGTAACATACTTCATAAAAAAGAGAGTAGTATGGAATATTGAACAAAATTGAAAATAAAAATAGTAGCATTTTAACCCATAACCAGAGGAAGAAGCCTCCAAGTTTTCAAAATTTTTATTATTTTTTTCATTCCTAATTTCAATATGCGATTTATTGTTACTAAATTAAATGATTTAGGTTTCAATTTTTTAGATCTTTTGTTATACAATACAATCGAAAAATGTTTGATTGAGTCACTTGTGGGAAAAAGTTGATGTTACTATAAAGGAAAAAAGGAAATTATTTTTACATATTCAATGTGTTGACATTCACAAGTGGTGATGAGTGTTCGAATTTAACTGACGATTATATGTTACTACTCTAAATAATGTAATTTTTTGATTTGTGGACCGTATTTTGTGAAAAGTAAACGAAAATTATTGTTAATGTGAAGGAAAAAAATATTTCATTGATGTTACTGTGTAAAAAAATATCTTGCTAATGTTACTATTCAACATATATCCTCCTGAGTTTTGTTAAAATAGGTGTGTTACTGTGCATAAAAATTTGATGTTACTGTATGAAAAAAAATAGTTGTTACATTACGGTTTGCAATTGTTATTGTAAAAGTTTACATTTGTTATTGAATGAGAGAGAGAGAGTATAAATTTCAATTTTAATTTATGAGTAAATTAAAAAATAATAATTTCTAATTTAAGAAATTAATTTAAAACTACTTTCAAGGTCTTTAAAGTTTCTATAATTGAGCACAATAACACTGAAAGATATATTTGAAATTTTAAAAAATAGCGGACTTAAGTACTTATTAGTAAGATAAAAATTGAATTTATCACAAAATAAGTTTCCTTGACGAATTCAAGTCACTATAAGTGCATCTAGGAAGATTCAATCTCAAATTTCACTTTAAAAGTTAAGGGTTTTCTTTGAAATGGACCTAAAGCCCAAGCTTTTTAAAATATGTTGTTTAAAATATGTTGTTGGACCGGCCTGGTTAATTGACATGATTGAACACTGGTTACCTTTCACATGACATACATTAAAGCAATTAGATATGTCGATATGGCATTGGTTTTGTCAAGTTTATGTACTTTGGGTTCTCTAATAAATTAGAATTTTCAGGTATGAAACAAGAATGAACAAATTGTGAAGGCAATTCAATTGGCACACAATAAATCAAGGGAACTACCAATATAATTTGAGAAGATTTCATTATTCGCTACAAGAAGTAGACAACGGGTGTTTGAAACAAGAATGAACAAATTTAAGTCTTGAGATGTTGCCAGACAAAATAAAAAGAGAGAAAGATCGAGAGAGAGGAAGAGAAACATGTAGGGATGGAAGATGATTGCTATGGAAGTCGAAGAAACGAGGGACCCCACCCCTCTCGGTCGATGTTGCAGTCTTGCAGACTCTTCCCTTGTCATTGAAATGGAAAAATCTATCTACTACTTTAAAACAGAGGCATGTAGAACTTGCTTTTTTGAAAAAGAAGAGCTCAGATTGCATGGCATTGCATGTCAACAAGAGGTTATAGATGAATCCTAAAACTTCACCATTGAATCACCCAGATTAATGAGCTTTTTCATTAAGCATCTCCCATTGCTGTAAGCATTCATGTTAATCGAAGCAAAAGATGCTCTGATTCTAACAACTCAAACTAATAACAGATATCGACAAGCGAAATTACCATGGATAGATGCTGTAAGGGGTAGAGAGCCCCAATAGCCTTTACCTCTCTTCGCCAATAAGACCCAATAGCCTTGATCAGGTCGCTAGTGGGTACCTCCTCCTTTGAGTGCAAGGGCTTATATGCGAGGGGGGAGATGACTTTCAGTCGATGTGGGACGAAGCTCTTGCGGGCACTGAGAGTTAAAGGCTACTGGGGGGTCGCCCGTGTGGGTTAACCCAGGTAAAACCAAATTCCTTAGTAGAGGGTTCCACCCCTTACAGAAAGACACCTTTCTGTAAGGGGTAGAAATCGCTACGGGATTTCAGCCCTCCACTCGATGGATTCCAGCTGACCTGGCGGCACCGAGCCCCAATAGCCTTTATATCTCTTTGCCAATAGGACCCTTTCCTAAGGCAATCCCACATCGGAAGAGAGTCGTCTCCCCCCTGCCATATAAGTGAACACTTCCTATGGAGGAGGTACCCATTATGACATTCTTTGAATAGCCTTTACCTCTCTTCGCCAATAGGACCCTTTCCTAAGGCAATCTCACGTCGGAAGAGAGTCGTCTCCCCCCTGCCATATAAGTGAACATTTCCTATGGAGCAGTTACCCATTATGGCATTCTTGGCACCTTCTATGGAGGAAGAGGTATCTCAACAAAGGAGCAGATGAATTAATCCCCACATATTTCTTTGGTGGCTTGCTGCCATTTGTTTCATGGCTTTCCAACATCTATTTTTCATGCTTGCCTTGGTCTATTCAGGGCTGTTCTCTTTGCTGCAAGTTTCAGCTGCAGTATCCCTAGAACCGATGCTGGCTTCTACATATCGTTGAGGGGTGATGGTGAAGTCATGCAAACACAAGATCTCCAGGTTGAAGGGGCTTGCTTGATCATGGTGCCTATTGGGGAATATTCTTGCTGTGCAGCTTGTGCCACCATGTTGCTTTAGCGCCATGCCTATTGTTTACAGCCCCAACCAAATTGCGGCTTGGGATTCATTGCGGAGAACTATAAGTTTTTTAAATACTACGATTGTCGCCGTGCAATAGATATATATTATAGTCTCCTCCAATGGTTGCAATATTTTTTTCCCCATCTTTTTTTGTAGCAAAAACGCTCTGACATGTGTTTCCAAATGGTTTCCCTGTGGCAGACAAGACAACGTAAACAAACAGCAAACACATTGATTTCTTAGCTCAACCTTTTAAGCAAGTAATATTCTCTATGAATCATAAATTATATATGTGTTTTCTAGTAACTGATTCCTTCCACGAATTGCTTGTACCACCAAGGAAGTAGAGAATGGATTCTTGTTCCTTGGACAAACAACAATCCACCTTTTTAAGAAAAGTATAACTCCTTTAAGAGCTTTGGAATTAAAGCTTTATTTATTTCATCCATAAAAAGCATGTTAGGCAATCTGATTGTTTCATTGTTTTAATCTATTCTAGGCGGGCGGTACATTCCTACCTACCTTAGCGACTTTATTTCCATGGCAGATCTCTTTGGCGACCAAGATGGTACATACGGGTCCTCTATCTCTCTGCTGTATAAAGTGTATTCTTGAAAGCTTTTATTACATTTGCATGAAGAACTAGTACTAGAGCATGCATGTGTTGTTTTCTCATGAAATCATTTCGGTGGAATCAAACCATTACATTTATTACAAAAACTTTGTTATGGTGAGCAGAGCAAGCTAATCTACGTATTTTCTAATGTCCCTCTAGTTTTAATCCAGTATATATTATGCTTTAAATACAATTGAGTGGAAATAGTTATGCATATTTTATGTATGTGAATAGTCCATACATCACTGCGACGTGACGTGCATGATTTCCAGAGTTCTTGTGAGTACAATTCTAATACCAAATGCTACACCCTCATTTTGAATTTTAATGTTTTATGTTATCAATATGATCATTCGCATCACCATCCTCATTATCATAATTGCTATCGCAGGAGTTCTCAAGTCGGTTTCAGACACACCACCTACTCATTTCACCCTCAAAATTCAATTATTTTCATTACTAACAAAGAACAACATTGAGAGATACACTTCAGGTGATTTTGAAGCTGCAGGTTATAAATGGTACTCTCTCTCCCTCCCTCTCCCTCTGTGTGTGTATTGTATTTACGTTGATTGTATCTCTTCGTCATTCCTTTACTTTTGATGTAGTTGCGACAATAGTTCAGTATAGTGGCCATAATCACCTTTTGATTGCAAATTGCTGTTTTATCAGTTTTCGGATGTTGTTTTATTTGCTGCATGCAGGAAGTTGGTTCTTTACCCAAATGGAAACAAGAACAAAAATATTAAAGATCACATCTCTTTTTACTTGATGATATCGGAAGTTAGTTCATTGCATCCTGGTTGGGAGGTGCATGCTGCTTTTCGACTGTTTTTGTTTGATCAGAACGAGGACAACTACTTAACACTTCAAGGTGTCATCTCCAATTCAGCAATAGTGTTATAGTTTTGTATTGCCTCTTTTTCTATCTTTGTACTAGTTGCATTGTTCTCATGACTACCTGATTTCGCCACACCAATTAAATGTCACAGTTTCATGCTTCAGTCTAAACTATCAAGTTGCCTTTGTGATACTGGTAAGTTGTTAACTTGCTTAGATACCATGGGAGAGGGAAGCCGCTTTAATGGAATGAAGCTGGAATGGGGTTTTGATCGGTTCATCCCTCTTACTACATTTTCCAATCCTGATAATGGGTATCTTGTCAACGATACTTGTGTCTTTGGAGCAGAGGTCTTTGTCTGTCAGGAGAAAAAAAAGGGTAAAGAAGAGTCATTATTGATGATGAAGGACGCTATTAAGTACAAGCACACTTGGAAAATTGAGAAATTTTCAAAGTTAGACAAAGGGTGTGAAGACTCTGACACATTCAATGCTGGAGATCAAAAATGGTAATGCAGTAATGAATTTCTTCCCGGATATAATCTAGACAAAATCTCAAGAATTATATATTTTCTTTTTTATTTTACATGTTAATGATGAAAGATTTTGCCCCAAATTTTAAACCATCCCATTTACAGAGTCTTCAGTTAAACTGCATCATACATATTAACTACAACATTGAATCATTTGCTACATGATATTTTTGTTGTTGCTGGTTGTTGCAGGAAGATACAACTATATCCAAAGGGAAAAAGCAGTGGCATAGGAACTCATATATCTCTGTATCTGGCTTTGGCTGATCCCACAGCCCTTCCTCATGGCTCCAAAATATTTGCAGAGTTCATATTGCGTATACTAGACCAAACGCACAGCAATCATGACTTCCGAAAAGGTAAATATAGGCTGATCTTATGACTCACAGGTTAGGCAGTATAAAAACTGTCTTGGCTCAATGCTTTCCTATATCTTAGGATTGGAAAATGATCCACTTATATATCAACATGCTCATATAATAAGCTTGCCGATTTCTGTGTTCTTGCAGCGACTTACTGGTTCAGTGCATCAAGCCAACAATGTGGTTGGCCTCGATTCATTTCACTCAGTTATTTCAATTCATCTTTCAACGGCTTTCTGGTAAAAGACAGTAGCTGGGTGGAAGCAGAAGTCATTGTCCATGGGGTGGCTAATGCACAGTAAAAAGTGCTTTATTTGTGGATGTATATAAATAATTGCACATTGGCACATAATAGATAGCACAATGTATATATATCTGGTGACTGAATGGTTATGGGTGTTTTACAAATAGTTCAATGAAAGTACTCTATAGAACATTCTAATCATCATATGCTTGACTAATATTGTATCAATTTTTTTTTTGTGTGAATAAAAGTGATAAGATTTGATCCCGCCAACTACGTAGATAGGTCCTTTTCTTTGTAATTGTGGGTATCACTGCAAACTCCCTTTTGGTATATGGATCTTGACAACCCCTAGAAAACTGAGTAGGCTGACATCTTCAAAGAGCAAAGATACCTGTAAAAGATGCATGCTGGAAGTTATTTTGACAAACTTGAACTGAACCTTATGATATAGCATTGTCTTAATTGACCTGCAATGAATTGGTTCTTCTAAAGGTACAAAGGCAATATATAACAGTTACATTAGGATCAAATCTTTTAAAAAGATTGCCAGTGGACAAACAAAATGAAAAAAAAAAAAAAAAAGAGGGGACGATCCATAAATGGTGCTAGAACCTCTACTTATGGAATTTTTTTGGCTTGCATTGGTGCCAGCAAAATCACCACAAAAATGCTAATCCTTTCTTCATGTGTAGCATGCGAGCCTCACCTGTATGCTAAGAGGATGTCCCATCAGATTTTGGCCTTGTGTACCCTAGATTGATTAACTTCTGCACCAGTTTTTTCTCAGCATTTGCCTGAAAGCCCCAATGAAAACTTAGGAGAAAATATGGATCAAAAGCTTGGAAATAGAACCAACAGGCTGAATCATCTGGCAACTATATAAGGGAGGAGAGAGAGAGAGAGATTAAACCTCAAGCATGGGGCTATTCTTTGGAATGTTGGAACCCTCTATTACATTAAGACCAGTCTTTAATGCTGTGAAAAAAGGTCGCATATCAGCTCACGGATCTGAAGAAATATTCCAAAAAGATTCATTGTGTATTGAGAATTTACCTAATCGACGAGCAATACCAGAAGCCCCGGTATTATCAGAAGCCCCTCCAAAGACGGGCATAACACTCGCTGTTTTGTTCTGGGCACCACCAAATAGTAAGATCAACTTAGCATTTGCAGTATGGAATATGAGTGAACATATTAGATTATGGGCCTAAATGATTGATTGAGCTTATATTTTTATAAGATTTTTTTTACATGAGTTGTTTATGATATTTAAAAATTCGAGACATTTCTTTGAAACGGGGCTTACTGCCTTAGTTTTTTTAAATATGCTGTCGGGCCGGCCGCAACTATTTCGAGTGGCAACAATACTATTATTACGTAACACCTCAAGAAAAAGTTCAGCCCAGACTAATGCCAGGACAAGACAATATTGCAGCTTGTCAAAATATTATTTTTTCTTAGTAAAAATTTTTAAAATACTGTTTTTTTCTTAATTTGATCACTAGATTTTTGAAATATTAAATATAAATTTGATGACAGCGATATCTATCACCTTTCAGAAGGCCACATCACGCTCAGGGAATATACAACCATAATAGCCAAATATTTTAGTATATGAGTCGCAACAGCCGCATAGTTGTAAAAACCGGCAAAAAAATCAGCAGAACCCCCATTCTGCACAACCTAATTAGCAAAAAAATCAGCCAAATAATTGGCTTCCCTATACACATGAATCAGGCTGAAATTCATTATGTACAGGAGTCCCTTAAACTGCCTCAACAAACCCCAATATTTCCATGCCCTCAAATGCCCTTTCATAACCGTACCAACCATCACCTCTTCATCCGCCTCTAATCTGCACAATAAAGGCTTATTTCTATAAGAACCCAGATTGATCAGAAGATATTCTCTGATGAATATGGAAGCAGAACTTCACCAAAACCAAACCCACCAACTCACCAAGAACTGAAGACCTCACCCCTACCCAAAACAGTTACAACTAGCGCAATGAGAAGTCAACCAACAACTACCAACCAAGCAACCTCATATAGGAGAGAGAGAGAGAGAGAGAGAGAGAGAGAAACTTAATACCTGAGATGAGAGAGAAGGATGAAGATCTGGCCTGTGAGCCGAAGTCTCGAAGATCTAATATTTGAGTCTTCAGAAGAACTGATTCGAAGAGATGAATGGATCTGAATTTTGAGTACTTCAATTTCGATATTCGATACTCGATAGTTCGATTGAGTTGGATGATCAGTGATGTGCTATTGAGGCCTAAGCCGAGTATAGAGCGAGCATAGAGGGAGAGAGAGAGATCGTCACTCGCGAAGAACTAGAGCAGAAGGCAATCGTCGTTGAATCAGAGAAGAGGGCAAAGAAATAAAATTTTGGGCAAAAATGCCCTAGAACTTCATTTTTATCGCTATCAAATTAAACCGTCTGATTTGATCCAAATCGAACGGGTCAGTGACTTTATTACAAAACTGGCCGGTTCAGCAGGTTCTTACCAGTTCTTTTGCTCGAACAATCTGATAACTTAATCGGCCCGGTTCAAGATCCAGTTTACTGGGTCAATCCGTCAAGTCGAGCCGGGTTTTAAAACATTGGCCTCCAGATAAAGCACACTGATTACGCTAGGAGGCCATTGGTTACGAAACGATCGCAAAAATCAGGCAAGGCAATCATGTAGGGCAACTGTACACTATAAATGGAGGACAAATCCCTCAAATTTTTAATCAAGCAGTCATCTTTGCATTTATTCTGTGGAATCACCTTCTCCTCAATTAATAGAGAATTTTTCAAGAGCAAAAGATTCCATTAAAATAGATTAATTAAACTGTCGAGCTACTGAACTACTATAAATTATCTGTCTATTCACCTTCATCCTTGGTCATCTTATAGCTTAACTCCCATGAGCCCAGAAGATCTGACTAGATATCCCAATGATTCTCAAATCTCCAAACAATTCACCTCTACTCAGCTATGTAGAACACACCATCAAAATTAAATTTTTAATTCAATTTTTGTGCATGGAAGCTCTGTTAATATAATTCGGAGATCAAATATAAATAAATCTGCTATTTATTAATTTTATTTCAATAAAGAAATGGAAGATTTTGGGAGGGATGAATCTAAGAACTTGTTTGTTCTGAATTATTCCAAAAGAAATTGGATGTTGTTGAAGATAGCATAAAGAAAACTCCATGTTTAAGAGAGAAAACTTTGCAAACCAGCCATTATTACCGTTAACTCTGAGCAATAAGCTATTCATATACAATTTATTTTTTAGTTAATCTAAAGGGATAGTTCAAGTGGAGATAGAGACGAGTTGTGTAAACTCAAACGCTCTAAGTTCTAAACTTGACAATCCCTTTCAGCGCACCCAATAACTTGGCTGAAGAGGCGACCGCTTTAGACCCCATCTAAAATGATGGCCCCATTTTTTATGAGTCTTCAGTATGATCCAAACTAAAACATTAAACTCAAATAAAATTGAGTTCGAGCAAAAAGGTCCTATGTACTTTAAACTAACAAAAATGAGCCCAAAAAAGCCTGAAAGTGTTTGTGGCATAGCAAAAGTAAAAGGCTCACAACCCATTTAGTTAAAAACATGAAATTTTAGGAGTAATTTAGAAGTCGGTACAAAAAATTTAGACTTATTTTAGCTAAATTAGATTAAGATAACTTATTTAGCCATAAGTGCATTTTTTTGAACAAAGACTAAAAGGGTATTTCTTACTCCATTACTCTGTCTCGTTCTCTCTCTCTGCATTACTCTTTCACTCTCTCTTCCATATTTTTCTCTCTGTCTATTTCTCTCATATTGATAATTATTTTTAAAATATGTAAGATTTGTCTTAATTTTTTTCATCTCTCTTCCCTTATTTCTCTCTCCTTCTCCACTTATTTCATTATTCTCTCCCTTTTTCTTTCTCTTTATATCAATGTCACACAACAAAAAATTTTTTTTTCTAAAGCCACCCAGTGTGGGTGGGGGTTTGGCAGGATCCCTACCTGTATATATAACTAAATGAAAAAAAGTACAAGGGAGGAGGACAGATAACCAAACCTCCAAAAAACAAACAAGAAAAACATGAAAACAAAGTGGGGACTCCCCACAGAACTAACTGAAAATAAAATAAAATCACCGACTTACCTGAGGAGTCTGTTGAGCATCCAAGGCGAGGATGCCAGCAATTTTAGATGGAAGAGATGACGAATTAGGAAATCGCTTATTGAGCTGCAACGTTACACAACACAACACAATTACACTAACCAATTACACAAATTAGTTACAATTACCCTATAATACACTAAACAATTATTTATGTATTATAATAAACAAAACAATTACACAAAACAATTATGCGAAATTATAACACCAACTTTGTCATTTAGTTATTTACATAAATCAAAGAGTTACATCATTCAGTATCACGACATGGTTACATCAATTATATACACCAAATTGGGTTTATCAGTATACAAAAGACTTTGCCATTATACTAAATTTGCTATATATGATTGGTGTAACAATGTCATGATACTAAATAGTGCAACTATTTAATTTATGTAAACAACTGAGTGAAAAATTGAGTTGATGTTATAAATTTGTGTAATTATTTGGTGTAACTGTTTGATTTATTATAACGCATGAATAATTGTTTGGTATATTATAAGACAATTGTAACTGATTATTGTAATTGTGTTATTGTAACGTTGATTTAATTAGAGAGAGAAATGGTTAGAGAAAATAAGGGGGAGAAAAATGAAAAAATAAATCAATTTTTTACATATTTGTAAAGAAAATAAATTATCAACGATAGATATAGAGAGAAAATATGGGAGAGATGAGGGAAAGTCATGGGGAAAGAGAGAGAAAGATGGAGAGAAAATAGGGGAAAGATACTGAGAGAGTCTAATGAAAAATTTACATATTTGATTAGATATAATAATGTTAATTAAGAATGCATAATTAAAGGGAAGGTATTTAGGTAAAATAATTTTGATTTTATTTGAATTTTGTACCTAAACACAATATGTTTTATTAAAATT